CAAAAAGAAGCTACGGAAGTCCCAAAGACAAATAGAACTGAGTTGATGTTAGCATTTGAAAACAGGGTCATGTGTATAGGGGTCTTTAGATACTAGGGAGTATGGCCTGAAAATGACTCCTTCAGTAATTGCTATTATGATCTATAGTAATGGAATCTGGATAAATTAGATCCTAAAACTGATTTGTAAATGTGATACTGATAGAAAATTAAGAAATAATTAAGTCTCATCAAAGTGACCAGGGGGATTCTTGAGGCCACACTGCTGGAATGAAGTATTTCTGGACATAAACATGATGTCTTAAGAGAAGAGTGACAAAATATGGGTTGGTAAGGCAAAGAAAGTGACAACATATAGACCAGAGGAATTAAATGTGAACAGATGGACACATTTGAACAAATAGAATTCTTTTGGTCTATAGTTAAAAATAAAACCAGAATTCTAATCTAAAAATAGTTTAACTGAGAATACCCCACTTGGATAGAAGAAATCTAAGTTCATAAGGAAATCTTCGCATTTTCCTAAGCCAGGCCCACTGTTAGTGCAGTTGCTTACATGTGTGCAGAGGAGGTTTTCTGACCACTCAGTTCAGTTCAGTCACTCAGCCATGTCCGACTCTTTGCTATCCTGTGGACTGCAGCATGCTGGGCTTCCCTGTCTGTCGTAACTCCTGCAGCTTGCTCAAACTCATGTCCATTAAGGCAGTGATGCCATCCAATCCTCTCATCCTCTGTTGTCCCCTTCTCCTGCCTTCAATCTTTCCCAGCATCAGGGTCTTTTCCAATGAGTCAGTTCCTTGCATCAGGTGGCCAAAGTATTGGAGTTTCATCTTCAGCATCAGTCCTTCCCAATGACTGATTCCTTAATCAGTCATTACTTAATCAATGACTGATTCAGGACTGATTTCCTTAAGGACTGACTGGTTGGATCTCCTGGCAGTCCAAGGGACTCTCAAGAGTCTTCTCCAACACCACAGTTCAAAAGCGTCAATTCTTTGGTGCTCAGCTTTTGTTATAGTCCAGTTCTCCCAAAGAAAGGCAATGCCAGAGAATGTTCAAACTACTGCACAATCGCACTCATCTCACACGCTAGCAAAGTAATGCTCAAAATTCTCCAAGTGCGGCTTCAACAGTATGTGAACTGTGAAATTCCAGGTGTTCAAGCTGGATTGAGAAAATGCAGGGGAACCAGAGATCAATTGCCAATGTCCGTTGGATCATCGAGAAAGCAAGAGAGTTCAAGAAAAACATCTACTTCTGCTTTATTGACTACACCAAAACCTTTAACTGTGTAGATCATGACAAACTGTGGAAAATTCTTAAGGAGATGGAACTACCAGACCACCTTACCTGCCTCCTGAGAAATCTGTATGCAGATCAAGAAGCGACAGTTAGAACTGGACATGGAAAAACAGACTGGTTCCAAATTGGGAAGGGAGTACATCAAAGTTGTATATTGTCACTCTGCTTATTTAACTTATATGCAGAGTACATCATGTGAAATGCCAGGGTGGATGAAGCAAAAGCTGGAATCAAGATTTCCAGGAGAAATATCAATAACCTCAGATTCGCAGATGACACCACCCTTATGGTAGAAAGTGAAGAAGAATTAAAGAGTCAGAAAGAGCTTTCTTTCTGACCATTGAAGATAAATGTTCAAGTCTTCTTGGCAAATATCTTATTCATAATGAGGTGACTGTATCAAGATCTGGTAACTTATCATCAAATGCTTATCTCTTTTGATTAATACCTTTACAAGAAGTATTCTGACACTATTGTTGTTTTCTGGGTAGACTTCCCTGGGACAAAACATCACTAAACAGCCAACAGCCAAAATGTTCTAATCTACTTAACACTCATTTATTCATTCAACAAACATTTGCTGAGCACCACCATGTGAAAGACAGTTTTATTTCTCATTGCAAATTTTCAAATGGAAATTCTGATTTATCAGTGAGTATTTCTTGGAATTTGGTCTTGTGATTCATTTTCCAAAGCCAGTGTCTCTGTGAAAGCTGAAGGGCTGCTCTTTCAGAACCTGAAATGCTCAGAATTGTTTTCTGGACTGTGGGGAAATTCCACCTGATATATTGACCTTGGAACCCATGGTGGCCAGCTCATTTGCCTCTTTGGGATTTCAACTTGTCTCTTCTTATCACATTTGTTTTACATTTATTTCCCAGAAGCCTGTCTTCATTTATTAAATATATTAGTTGGGCCAAATTGTGCTGGATGATATCCTGGGATGCTGGGACTCATGTCTTTGTAATGATTTAGGGATGATGGCTAGACAATACAAGGAAGAAAATTAAGCCTTCTCGAACTTATCTGAAATGAAAATTTAGGAATAAATTTCATAAATGGAGAAGGAATTTGAGGATGTGAACTCCCCATAACTGGAAGAAATAACAAGATAAAATCTGGAGGAAACTCCCATAATGGATTGGATGTTAGAACAAATGATCTCCATATCCACTTTGAGTCTAAGAATATGAGCCCAGATTTCCATTAGTTCTAATTTAAATCTTGGTATGTATAGGGGGAGAAAAGGTCCTTCATACCCCAAACCCAAAGAGAGGAAGAAGCCCCTCCATCTCAAGATTTGTTTTTTTTTCTTTTGGCCACACCGCATACAGGATCTTAGATCCCCCATCAGAGGTCAAGCTTGCATCCTCTGCAGTGGAAGCACAGTCTTAACCACTGGACCACCAGGGAAGTCCCCACCCCAAGATGGTTCAGTGAATGCTAAAGGATCAGTGAATGCTGTGTAGGGACATCTGGGAAAGAGTATTTATTTTATTCCAAATGCCCTGAGTATTCTTTATCCCTTTTTATCTATTAACAGATGAAACAAATACATTGCTTTACAAGAAAGAAAGAAAGAAAAGAAAGTTAAGTCTCTCAGTTGTGTCTGACTCTGCGACCCCATGGACTATAGTTTAACAGGTTCCTCCGTCCATGGGATTTTCTAGGCAAGAGTACAATCCCACTCCTGGGCATACATACCGAGGAAACCAGAACTGAAAGAGACACGTGTACCCCAATGTTCATCGCAGCACTGTTTATAATAGCCAATAATTAGCCTCCAACTAAAAAAAAAACAAAAAAAAGAGTACTGGAGTGGGTTGCCATTTCCTTCTCCAGGGTTTCTTCCCAACTCAGGGATCAAATCCAGGTCTCCCGCATTGTAGGCAGATGCTTTACCATCTGAACCACCAGGGAAGTCTTACAAGAAATATGTATCAAATACTATATCACCAGGGCTAAAGCTCATGAGAGGTTGTGAGCATGTTTTTAAATGACCAAATATCCTGGATAAACCTTGAGACAGTAAAATAACTAGATGGAGTGGCAAGCCAGGTACATCTGAAGTTCTTTTTTCAATGAGCTATAGGTAGACTTACTGGGCTTGAGATGGCTATTGAATATATCGATTATCACGTTGTTTCACAGCTGCTAAAGGAGATACATACTGTTGTCTCCATTTGAAAAAAGAGAAATTAAAGCTTACAGAGGGTAAGTGATTCCCCAAAATTCATACACTTAGTTCATGCAGATATAGACTTCCAGTTTACACACAGTTAACAATGGTCCCCAAATATTTAACACTAAAACCAGTCTCCTCTTTATACTATGCTACTCAATTGTAAATTGCCTTTTGATTTGCTCATGCCACCCCTCACTTTGAAAACCCAACATCCTCCTTCATTTCATTTCCTTCTACTTTGAGAATTTAATTATCTGCCTGCAGCAACATGCCACAGTTGAAGATTCTCATGAAAACTAAACCAAAGGGGAAGGACAGTCATATTATGTGATTTTTTTTTTAACGTTTGCTTTAATTTTTCTGTCACTTTGACTTTCTTTTAGGGTCTAAGCAGGTGGAAAAATGTATTTATGATCAGGTAAAGACTTAAAAAATCACTTTCTAGGATGAACTATGGGGAATAAGTTGTAGAAATCCGAAACTTTGTTTCTACCTGTGATGCTCACATGGTACATTTACCATACTCTGTCTCCATTTTCCTCATGGTAAAATGCTATTCTTCTGGAAAACTTTTCTGTAAATTGGGAAGTTGGCACCAACTGCTTTGGGGAGAGCTCCTCCATGCAGTTTTTGTTTGTATTGTTGTTGTTTATTGTTTAGTCGCTAGGTTGTGTCTGACACTGCAACCCCACGGACTGTAGACCACCAGACTCCTCAGTCTGTGAGATTTCCCAAGCAAGAATGTGGGAGTGGGTTACCATTTCCTCCTCTAGGGGATCTTCCCAACCCAGGGTTTGAACCTGCATCTTCTACATTGCAGGCAGATTCTTTACCACTGAACCACCAAGGAAGCTTTTGTTCGTATAACAAATATGGTTTGAGTACCCATCTTGTGCAGAGTCTGATGCCAGGGGGCAGGATACAGAAAAGAGGAAATGTCTCTAACTTCAGGATGTCACGGTCCTTGTTAACAAGCAAAACTGCAAATCCCCCTGGCACTGAGTGAGCCCGGGGATCATGTAAGGCCTCAAGAGAGGACTCAGAGTCCTCTTTGTTCTGGGGAAGCTACTGAGGCCATTCCTGCTGGGGAGGGAATCCAGGCACATCAGGCTCTGGGCGTCAGCCACTACTCCCTAGAGAGATAGATAATAACTATATAGTGTGTGTTCTGCTGCTGATAAACCTGGGCCATGGCAATATTCTGACCATGGACATTTCTCTGTTAAAGTAATCGTATCTAGTCCTGGTCTGTATGAACTCATTAGAGTGGCATTGATTAGTGGCCTAAGATCTGAGTGTTACAGGCCACTGCAGATCTGAGTGGTGCACACATGGGCCAACAGCGCTCTCCCACTGGGCATTTTGACCCATGGTGTGACTTCTAAAACCTCCACAGACCCTGGGGAGACATAATGGAGAAAATGGGAGATGGCTTACAGCTGATGGGAGAGGAGTGCCTTAGATCCAGGATGGACAAAACTTACCACCCACGTTTTTCTTTTAAATCTCCCTAGAGCCAATGCCCTGAAAGTCTCTCTTGATTTAACCATAACGGACAGCAGAAACAGGACAACCACTGTCAGTTACGTGCATGATACACTGTCTAACCCTTATGGCTGGATGGCCCTGCTCTTGGATCAAGAGACCTACTCCCTGCGGTTTGAGAGCCCTTGGACCAGCAGTGCGCTTCAGGTAACCCTGACATCCTCTCACTGGTGGATTCTTTTCCCCAGGAGTTCCCAGCTTTCCTTCTGCGACATGATAGTCTGCAGGTATTAGCATCTTCTGGTGCTGATCAAGCAAACTGCAGCAGAATTTTTGCCAGATGAATGTAACCTGAATTTGAGATATGATTGTTTTTTTTTTATTTTAAACTTGAAACTTGTAAAATCTGTTTAAACCTCACTTTGAACACAGCATGATTCTGCTTGAAAATTTAGCTTTATTAATACACTGACAAACAGCTTCTAAGCATCCTACAGATTTGTAGTCTTATGTTAACCGGTTAAGAACCAACCTACCCCAGGGAAGTGTTTCATAGCCAAAAGGAAGTATCTTCCCAAGGCATTTTTACATTACACACTGCCACCTTGTGGTCAAAGAGTAACTTGCACATGAAGGTCTGTCCATTGTTAGGTTGGAGTCAGATGGTTAGGGGAGGGATGGTAGGAATAACCATGTGGAAAATGGGTGCATTTTCTGAAGTAGTCCATTGGATTCTCCCAAGCTCCTTTTCTTCCTTTTAAGCACATTTCTTTCTTTCAGTCTCATCACACACACATTCTCCCTAACGGTCATGAGAATAGTTCTTAGGGACCTGGAGGCAGATGGGCCATTTGTTGCTGTTCAGTTGCTCACTCAAGTCCAGCTCTTTGTGACCCCTTGGAATGCAGCACACCAGGCTTCCCTGCCCTTCAGTATCTCCCAGAGTTTGCTCAAACTCATGTCCATTGAGTCAATAATGCCATCCAATGATCTCATCCTCTGTTGCCCCCTTCTCCTCCTGCCCTCAATATTTCAAAGTAGAATCTTTAGGATAGCTTTACCAGGGTTCTGAGGAAGGGTGCACACCTCTCTCCACTTCCCTTGAGGTTCCCATGAGAACTTTCTGGAGAGGTGAAAGCAATAGAATGGTGACTCTGGAGGTGGACACCTGGGTTTCCGTCCCAGATCAGCACTCTCCTACTTCATGATGTGGGAAAATTTACTGAACCTCCACCTGCCTCAAGTGTCCTCATCTATAAAATGGGGGCAGCACTAGTAACAGTTCCCAGGGCCTTTCAAGGATTGAATACCTTGATATGAATAATACCTGAGGACATGGTGAATGCTCAGCCATGTTAGCTGTTACTGTTATAAATGAATGTCACTCCTACCAATGCCTGCTATTTGAATCTTGGGGAAAACTGGTGGTAATTCTAGACGTGGCTCTGCCTATTCCCACTGGTTGACCTGAGACAAATTACTTGGCTTATCTGAACTTTGGTCTTCTCCTCTAGATTGTTAAACAAGAAGAGGGCTTCCCTGGTGGCTTAGATGGTAAAGAAAGTGAAAGTGAAGTCACTCAGTTGTGTCCGACTGTTTGCGACCCCATGGACTGCAGCTCACCAGACTTCTCTGTCCATGGGATTTTTAAGATGGTAAAGAATCTGCCTGCAATGCAGGAGACCTGGGTTCAATACCTGGGTTAGGAGATCCCCTGGAGAAGGGAATGGCAACCCACTCCAGTATTCTTGCCTGGAGAATTCCATGGACAGAGGAGCCTGGTGGGCTATAGTCTAGATTGAATGATTAAAACACACACACACACACACACACATACACACACACACACACACACACACACACACAAAGAACCTTACAGCTTTTAGTCCTCACATTTTATGATTTTTTGTAGCTCTAGTTATGAGATTATTGTGCAGTAAATTTAAGTAAACCCATTTCCCACAAGAAAAGTAGCCAGTGTGAATGGTCATGTTTCTAAACTACTTCATCCTGTTCTTTGTAACTCTTTTATTGGCAAGAGTTTTCCTTTCTAAAAGAGCACTTTTGTACTTTTCTCTCACTTCAAGTACTCAGCAACATTTGACAACTTTGCTCCTGGAAATTACCTGTTGCTGGTGCACACAGACGTGTGGGTTTACCCTGACATCCTCATAAGGTGTGGGAGTCATGTGGGGCGGTCCCTCTCATCTCTTCCATCACCTGGCCAGGACCAAGGCTGTGACTGGTTCTTCGACAGTCAGTTGAGACAACTCACCTATCTGGGTAAGTATGATTGAATGATCATGTTGAGTGCATGTAGTCAGAAACCACTATTCCCTTTGGAATTTCAAACATTGGTGCTACGAAGAGATGAAGAACTTTAAGGGACACCTGTGTGCTGTGATGAGGTGATTGTGTTCCAAAATCAGACTGCCTGTGTTTAAATCCCAGCTTCAGCACCTGCTACCTATGGGACACTGAGCAGGTATTCTTTCTAAGCCTCAGTCCCCTCCTCTGTAAAATGGGATAACAAAAGGACCTGCATGAAGAACAGGAAATTAAGGAAAGGATAACCTGTAAAAGTCTTTAAAACAGTGTCTGATCCAGAGTGAGTGCTTAATAAACTTTGATTGCCATTCACATGTTTCCTTCGTGTTAAGCGTTGTATTTGTAGAAAGGTCAACTGCACTTGTAAAGACAGGGTGGCTGGTTGCGATCCCAGGGACAGGGAGCAGCAAAGAGTACATAGAGACAGCACAGAGAGGCAGGACGAAGAATGTGGTCATTGTGGAAGGTGAGGAGCTTTAGAAGGCAGTCTGAGGTCAGGGAGCTGAGATGCACAGAGGGCTGAGGGCTGGGGGCTGGGCTGTCTCATCCTGTGTTAGATGCAGCATCAGGGTGGAGGATCCAGGAGCCTTGTTTTATGGAACCAGAAACCCTACTGTGACTGCACAGTAACAGGGGCCGGCAGGATTTCCTTACTTTCTTATTGTGTATGTTTCACAGGAGCCCCGTGTGTGACTCCGGGCCATAGATTTCTGTTGACTTCCTGGAGCTCATCTCATATTGCCTTTCCATGTGATTTTATTGATTACTCTGAGTGCCATGATGTCTGCTTATGCTAACCTTAGCTCAGTGGTCTGTAGGAAGGAGAATCTGAAAAAATGAGTCTCTAGAATGACAATTTTGTTACAAATTAGTCTTCATAGATCTTGGTCTAATTCAGAACCACGTCAAGCTTGGCAAGACCCAACCTCTGCCGTGAGCCAGACTTGGCCCTAAGGGTTTAGAAAGCTGGCAGGCGTCCCAAGTTCCGTGTCTCTCTCACTGACGCCTGCCGTATGTCAGCTGAGTTGGATCACACTTGAGCCCTGGTACTCTTACATTTTCACAGCACCAGAGAGGAGAGGATGGTGTTTCCCAGGTTTTTAAAAATGTTTGCCAAATGGATAGCTGTATATTTTATTTGCACTGAAATGTACCATCTAGATTTTATTTCTGATTTGATCCATCTATAAATGTAACCTCAAACTATAAAACTTCAAGATGGACAGAGATGCCTGACACCGTTTTACCACTAAAGTCAAATACAACCATTAAGTAAGAGCAAACAGTTGCTGTTAACTTTAACTGTGGCTATTCATTTTATGTATATTCTGAAACAAAATTTTAATTTCAAATTGCTCTTGTTTTTTTACTTAACATGTTTCTGAGGAGCCTGTCTTGTTCATTGATCGGATTTTGTTCATGAACTGCACACTAGTTTGAATAGTCACAAAAAGCAAACATGATAAAGGAACATTTGTGGCATAGAGAAAAACAATATCAAGTCATGTAGTTACAGATTTTCTTCCTCTTTTATCGCATTATTTATTGAATTAATAGCAAGTTATACTATTGTGCTATATTTATATATATGTTCTAAACACACATCTGTATAAGTGTGTCTATATTTATATGTATATTTATATTATATGTACATATAAAGGATGTAGGTGAATATTTCAATATAAACCGTTTTTACTAGGCAGATGGCTTTTATTAATTGAAGAGTCTTTGTGTCAGAATCCTCTAGTATCTCCACTTTTGAACAATGTGAGTTGGGCAAGGAACAGGAAGTCACAGGGGGTTGAAGGAATGTTTAATAAAGTTAGAGACCCTTGTTCCTTGGAGAGGATTTCCAGGACTCCAGGTCGTGACTTTCCTGGTCATTTGTGCCTCTGAATGTGTGGAGTACACAAGTGGTGAGAGCCAATCCTGTTTGCATTCCTGGGCTGGCACAGTGAGGACGTGAGGGTTCGGGAGGAGCCAAGGTTCACAAACAGGTCCCCTATGGTGGTGGCCCATGCAGGGATATTGGGTTGTGTATGATGGGTTGTGACTTTTTATGCCCTCTATGTAAAGCTTGCACCACCACTGTGAAGTTGATGAGGAGGCTACCATGTTTTCCATAGACCAACCCCCCGATGGCAGTGACGTGGTTGTAGCTGACACCTCAAAAAGGCTTCATGCAATAGTTCCAGTTACATATTGATTAGCTTGTTGTGAAAGTCACTCAGTTGTGTCCAACTCTTTGCGACCCTATGGACTGTGCAGTCCGTAGAATTCTCCAGGCCAGAATACTGGAGTGGGTAACTGTTCCCTTCTCCAGGGGATCTTCCCAATCCTGGGATTGAAGCCAGGTATCCCACATTGCAGGCAGATTCTTTATCACCTGAGCCACCAGGGAAGCCCTGATGAGGTTGTTACTTTCGCCTAATTGTTTTTTGGACTGTGTGACTTTATAAGTCTGTGACTGGGGTAACTTACATAAACTACATTTAATCTAAGAAGAGAAGATAAGACCTCACAGTCAAAGTAGACATATTTCTGGAATTAAAAGAAAAAAGAAGAAAAATGATTCATAGAGAGCATTGTGTGTACAGAAAGTTCACTTTATTGTAAGGGAGCTGCTTGACCTCCTCCAGGTCCACTGAGTTTCCTGGCAGACTTTGAGGGGTGGGCGTGGGGGAGACTCTGCTCTTTTACCCGCTGGCCTTCAATTCGGAATCCTGCTTCACTGACGTTTGGCTGGCCTTCACTCATTCCTTGACCACTTCTAAGTGGCCCGTCTTTTGTATTGTTTGTTCATAACCCTACCACATCCCCCTCGGAGAGGAAGTTTTAAAAAAATCCCAATTATCTTCATTTCCTCCATTTGGCTCCTTGGTGTATGATTTAAGATGCCTGACTCCTTTCCGACCCAGTGAGATTGGCAGAGAGTGGAACCCAGGCATTCTGGCTCCTGGCTGTGCCTCTCCACTAGAGTGTGCTGCCCACTCAGTAATCATGGACCACTGACCAGCCAGGCTGGGGGGTGCCCGGCAGGTTTCCGGGAGAACATTTCTCACTGATCCCCAGTGACAAAGAAAAAAATCCTGCACATATAATATTCTTTGACCCTTGCTTTTCTCTTCTTTACCAAGGCAAGTTTAACCTTTGTTCGGCAAACGTCTTTACAGAAAGCAGCTTCTCTGGAAAGCTCACGGCCAGAGTTTGGGGCTTTGGGCTTTAATCAGTGGCTGGCTGGTTATTTTACCTGGGGCATGGAATTACAAATGTTCCCTTCCTCTGCGGCTACATCCATACAATGAGGTTAAGCTTACTTATCTATTGGAATTGTGGTACAAAACACCCGACCTCTTTAAGTGTGATTAGCATGCGTTGTTATTTCACTATACGTTTTCTCAGTAGATTATTTCTCTTAAACCTTTCTTTCCTCTCCCACCTCTGCCCCCACCCAGAAGATGAACAACCTCAGGTGCCTTGAACTCAGTGTACCTGTCATAACTTGTCTGCAGGAGTCTCATTCTATTTTCCTTGACTAGCTTTTGTAAGATAACAGATTCATGATAACATGACATGTGTGATATATGGGTCCCCTGATTGAAACTTAATACCACTTAAGCAATTGTTACCCACAGACTAAGATAACCTCGCTCATTTAAGAATGTCTCTCTTAAGGAGATTGGTTCAGGTTGCCTTTCTAATGCCCCTGAGATTTCTGCCCAAGGAACCACTTAAACACAGACCACGAGTGAAGTCCTTGCATGCTATTGTTTGTGTTAGGGTCCCGGTGGGGCAATATTTGCTAGAATAAACTGATATGAATGGCAGTCATGAACTGTCACTTCTACGCCATGCTTGTGGACAGGTCTGACTGTAAAACAAGAATTCCTTTATATTTTCAAAGTCAGAGTCAAACCCAGAGAACCCTTTTTACAGTTTCTGCTGTTGGATTCACCAGCACTCCCATCTCTACCTTACGCATGCAGTCAGTTTCCCACTGCCTCTGTCCCTGCTTTTTTTTTTTTTCCCCAGGAATGTTTCAGTTCATGGTGAACTATTTTTATTTTTTAGTTACATTAACGCTATGAAATAATTAGTCAGCTAATTAATCTGGTGTACAAGCTTTGTAGGATTCTTCAGCTGTCAGTCAGGCCCAGGCCCGAGGCCTACATCTAGTTTCAGCACTCTCGCCCATGTGATTCCCGTTGCCATGGCTACTGGGTACATCTGCTGACACCCCACTCTCTATTTATTGCTTAATTAAGAATTTCACGCTCAGCCCTTATCTGCCTCTAAGAACAAGCGCACACTGTTAAGAAATTCCGAATTTAGGCCTGGGCACAAGGAAAGCCTTTCTTGCGGGGCTTGGCTGGACTGGAGCCTCTCTAACGATCTTCTCAGCATCCCAGCCGCCACCCTTCAATCAAAAATCATTAAATGGGGCAGAGATAATGAGCATGTAGCGTATCAAAGAAGGATGTTTGCTTGGTCCAAAGAAGGAAAAGCTGCTAGGCTCCATGCTCTGCTCCACTTCAAAGGCAGATGAGACCCCTTGTCACTGGGGCCTGATAAAGCCTCATTTGTTCTGGGCTTGACTTATGCAAAAGGTCTGGTATGTCAAAGTCCCATCTCACAGACGTGGGATTCCCTCCCCCCAACTTCTTGCCTCTACCTCCACCGGCCCCCTCCCTGGCCTTCCGCACACGCTCGTGTGTCAGCTCTTAGGCAGCTGGGCCCCCCAAAGCATCAGGCGGAGCGTGTAATCACTGACTTCACGCTGACAATGGCCACTTGTAGGGGGGTGGCCAGGAGGAGGTCTTCATCACAATAGGAACACAATTATTGCAGCTGCTAGGGAGGGCTATGCTTCTTCCTGTAGAAATAGAATAGGACTTGCCCCAAACAGGAGGACAAGGTTGGGGGGAGGTGGTGGGGGTGGAGAGGGGTGGAGAAAA